AGAATTCTCAAAGAATTACTCATTATTGCTAACTAAGATAATTAGACGAGCCAAAACTAATTACTACGAAGATAAATTTACTCAAATAAAGAGCAACATTAAACAAACTTGGAACACAATTTCACAAATATTGGGATCAAAGAAATCTTTAAATAACAAACCGACTCTCCTGTCTAATAACGATGGTCAGCTTTCAGCCTCTGATTCTGCTATTGAGTTCAATAGGTTCTTCTCTTCCATTGGTTCATCCCTTGCAAATGATATTCCATCTTCCAGTACTGACATTAAGGACTATCTTACAGGTAACTATCCACAGTCTCTGTACCTAAAGCCTATTAACTCCACTGACGTCAACGAGATAATCCTTTCCCTTAAAACCAAGTCTGGTGCCCTTGAGGAGATACCAACTTTAATTTACAAAAAAGCCTCCAGATCTTTAGCCCCTGCTATTGCTTTGCTCTTCAACAAGTCACTTGAACTCCAAACCTTTCCAGATATTCTAAAAAAAGCGAGAGTAACGCCTGTCCACAAATGTGGTGACCCCACAGATGTTAACAACTACAGACCTATATCAATCCTGCCAAACTTGTCAAAAATTTTTGAAAAACTTATATACAAGCAGCTTTACTCATATCTAGCGAAACTCAATATACTTAGCCCTTGCCAATATGGCTTCAGACCCAAAAAAAGCACTAACGATGCACTTATTAGTATGCTTAACTCGATTCATACAGCTCTTGATAAAAAGGAGCTCCCTGTTGGGTTATTTGTGGACCTGCGTAAAGCTTTTGATACTGTCAACCACCAAAACCTTCTTCTTAAATTACATCATTATGGAGTCAGAGGACACTCCCTACAATACCTCGAGTCCTACCTTACTGATAGGCTCCAATATGTTTCTGTGAATAATACAATTTCTCCCACCCTACCCATCAACATTGGTGTTCCTCAGGGCAGCATACTTGGCCCTCTCCTCTTTCTCATCTACATTAATGACCTTCCAAATGCCTCCCAACACCTCAAACCAATTCTATTTGCTGACGACACAACCTTCATTTACTCCAGTCCTGACCCTCTTGCTCTAAATGCCACAGTAAATACTGAGCTAAATAAAGTCCATCTTTGGCTAACTGCCAACAAACTCACCCTTAACATTGACAAAACCTTCTATATTCTGTTTGGCAATAAATCCTCTAGTCTTATAAATCTCAAAATAAACAATACCCAAATTTGTAACAAATTAGATGGCAAATTCCTTGGCATTCTCATTGACCACAAGCTGAATTTCCAGGGACACATTCTAAATATATCAAAAAAAGTTTCAAAAACTGTGGGCATTCTTTCTAAGATCAGATATTATGTACCACGCCCTGCTCTGGTGACTCTCTATTACTCCCTTATCTATCCTTATCTCAACTATGGTATTTGTGCTTGGGGTTCTACTACCCAAAATCACTTACGTCCTCTAATTACCCAACACAAAGCCGCTATTAGAACAATATCCAACTCTGGCCCCAGACATCACTCGGTACCCCTACTCAAATCTCTTAATATGTTAGATATTAAGTCACTGCACATTCTCTCATGTGTATTATACATATATAAAACGCTAAACTATAATGCCAATCCTGATCTTAAAAGCTTCATAGAAGGTTGTAACAGAACCCATGAGCACCACACCAGAAATAAATACAGTTTTGATATTCCTAGAGTACGTCTTAATCAAACTAGAAATGCTCTACAAATCAAGGGACCCAGATTGTGGAATGACCTTCCCAACCATGTTAAAGACTGTACCTCTCTCAACCAGTTTAAGATAAAAACTAAACACTACCTAATAAATTCCCTGTAATCTACCTCACTCCTCTATTGTCAACCCATGTCTGTTATTTTCTTTTTTTTTTTTCTTTTTTTTTAATAAACACTGTTTGTCAACCTATTGTATTTGTGCTGCTTTTTCAGTCATGTTCCCCCTTTTTTTTATCTTTATTTGTATTTGTTCTCAACATCTTTTATTCTTTATGCTCAATTAGTATTAAGTTCTAGATATTAATGTTTTTCTTGCCCGAAACGCATTGCGTAATAGTGGCTTTAGGCATTGTATGTACTAGCTCTATCTATATATCAATCCATTAATGTAACATCACTTGTATGTATATACCTTACCTGAATAAACATCTGAATCTGAATCTGAACTGGTCGGGCTCCGGTTACACAACTGGTCGGGCTCCGGTTACGTAACTGGTCGGGCTCCGGGGGTGTCATTTGGGCTTCGGGTTGTGCATATTCAGGCTTCGGTTCGTGAATGGTTGTGCTGCAGATGTGTTTTGTTCGGTTCGTTCATGCTAGGCTTACAGTTACACAACTGGTCGGGGTCTGGTTACACAACTAGCCAGACATCGGGGTGAACAACAAACTACCACTTGATGGTTGAATAAGGGATGCTTAATGAACTATCCACCTCTGGCGGCAAAAAATAAATGAAGTGTGCAACTACGGTCTAGTTGCAAACGTTGCAAATAATCCAATGGATTATTGCAATTGTATAGTTTGCACAATCTTGAGTCTATTTGTTCTGTAATAAGAGACAAAGCCCTCGCTGATAGATAATAAGAAGATATACAACATTATAAGCAGTGCGCTAAGCATGTGAGCCCACAATTATTATCTATATAATAATAATAATGTTTATTGAGGTAAAAGTAAATACATTCAAAAAGTTACAAGCAGAATGTTGGACTTCTAGACAAAGCTAGTACATACTATGCCTAAAGCCACTAATACGCACAGCGTTTCGGGCATCTATCTACAATGATTTTAGTGTAGATATTTTGATATGATTTTGCAGTATGAAAGATGTTAAGATAAACTTATTTAATTCATTCAATTGTGCAAGGATAAATCGCCTCACATATCTGAAAAATACTTTTTTATTATAATACAGTATAATATTCATGTGCCATCTTATTATTCACAGTTTTGACTTCTTAATTTCTATTGGACATTTTATTATCTTTGCAGACGAGAACTGAAGCGAACACACGCCAGCGCATGTGTGTATTTTATAGTTGCGTTTTTGATCGAAGAAGATCTTGATAATCTACAACTGAAGACGTGGAAGGACTCTACACCCATTATACTTCATACAGTAAATATTGGTAAATTATCCTAGTTGATTTTAATTATTTATATATGTGTGTGTGTGTGTGTGTGCAGAAATAATATTAAACAATTAACATCGTGTAGTGTACTCTATCAAAATATATTACTTTGAAACCCATATCAGTCACTAAACAAAAAATTGGGCTACTCTTATAACAAATTCGCTACTTTTAGACCGTCAGTTCGCTACTTTCAGCAATTTGGATCTGGCAACCCTGGATAGCACAGTTCCCGACAGTCTGTGGTTGAGCTGAAGGCAATTACCCCCTTCCCATTATATACACATCTAATTAGATCTCAAATCTCTTGCGAGGGATGGAATTATTCCTCCCGATTTGGCTTCGATCGTTTTGGCTTCCGCGCTGCCACCCAGTCGCTCCTGTAATTTGACTTCATTATCGCTACTGTAAGAAAAAAACGTACAAAGCACACACACGCACAACCTCTCACTTTCAATACCCACTGGTTAGAAACTTTAGATATTTCGTTACAAGCTAATAATGGCAAGTATTATGCCATCAATTACTCAACCGGTTCAATTCGTAACCCAGCCACCTATAGATGATGAACAACGGCGTAGCTCCTCAATCAGACTCTTAGATGGAGAATCAGGACTGCAGTGCCCATTATTAAGGGCAATCAGAGCTGTAGTTCTCGTATAATAAGGATCAAAGATTCTAATCTCACTGAGCCTTCAATTCTGCGCTCAGACGTAAGTTTAGATAAAACTGCAGTTGAAAAAAAATATATATGCGCGTGAGTGTTGAGTATTAATAAAGTTACTTTGTGTTCACTATATAGAGCCGTCAATACCAGTTTTTTTGTGGTCTCTCTCAAGATCATCATACGATGAAGAGTGAAGATACTTTGATAAATTTGAAGATCAGAATCACAATGTGAATCTGAGTGTGTGAACTCACCTAGTTGTGTGTGTGTACTCACCTAGTCGTGTGTGTGTGTGGAGGGGGGGGGGGGGGTCAGTCCACTCCAAAATTCATTTAGCCAAGCAGGTTACAGTCTTGACCTTAGAAATATGCCATAGCGGTCCGTGGCTGACAGCCAGTAGAAGTGATGGACGGCTGGGCACTTTAGTACAACAATTTCTTGACGTTGGGGAAAATCTTAGGAGGACGGATGGGTCGAGAGACGCTTTGGTATTTGCTGAGGGCGCTGATGAGGATATTAGATATAATTATAGCTACCTTTTGATCTATACTCTATAAGACCTCATACAGTGTTCGGTAACAGCACACTGTACCGTGTACTTAAGTTTGTTAATAAAGAAATTAGTGTTGGATAATATAGAGAACTGCTCGAAACGCTATATGCGTGCTAGTGGCTTTACAAGAATGTAAAACTTCAAGTCTCTGTACGCTCATAAACCGAATGTACCTTCTTCTATATAAATAAATAGAGACGAGCAGAGGGCCGTGAGCCCGGGACAGGTCGCTCCGCACACATGTGTACACCAGAAGCAAGTTCGTTCACTGACAAGTTTGTATACACGAATTCTTTCGTATATACACATTCGCTGGTTTGTGTTCGCTGCTGTTCTAGTCTTCCAAGACACTATTATTAATAAAACGAGACAGTAGAAGTTGATAAGTTAAGAAGATGCATAAATACATGGCACTTGATCATATAATTAGCAATCTATAATCAGTGTATATATATACACTTAGATTGTAGACTTTATTTAGCGTCACCTACCACCTATTTTATATCCTATTTTGCTATAAAAACAGGCCATTTCCTAGTAAAATTGTTTTTTCCACATTAATCATCCAGCAGCAGCGTTACAGAAAGCAAAAATATGTTCAACTTTATATTTACGTCCATAATGTTTATTAGTCGAGTAGTTGAAGCAGACGCCGGACCGACCTGCTGCACCACTGTCTGCTGCTGCTGCTGCTCTCATCAACGGCATCAATGGCTCCTCATCACCAGTGACCTCACTCACCTCCTGCTCACGTCCTCATAAACAACACACTAGTTCCTGGAAATACAGTAGAAGGTTAGTATGGAAGGTTGTAATGTATTTTCTCAAATAGCACGGGCTATGGTGAGCCCGTAGGTACTTCCAAGCATAATATATACTCTGTCTTAAGTTCAACACTCTAACTCAAATTTATATGTATATACTTTTACTGGAATAAACATTTATTATCATTATAAGGTGGATTTGTTAAGGGGGTTATGGTGCAGGGGTATACAGCACCGGTTATTAAGGCAAATTGTGGGGGATGGGGGATTTTGACAAGACGCTGGCTTCCTGTCCTTGTCGAGGCTACTAGGGTTAGTGGCCCTCAGGTAAATTAGGTAAAAATAGATCTCGTTTTCTGGTTGTTAAAAGTGCGTGTGTGTGTATATATACATATATATTATATAATATATTGGCCATTAGGGTGTATTATCTTAGGTTAGGCTTGGTTAGGTTGGGTTGGATTGGGTAAGGTTAGGGTCGAGCATTTGCCATGTGATCACTACCAGTCGATCCTTTTCCTCTCAACCAAGCTTTTCTGGAATTACAAACGTGTACTATATTTTCATTAGGTTAGGAATGGTTTGTTTAAGAAAGTAGATGTGGTCTTGCAAGAAATAAACCAATCACTATTATGTGTGCAACAATACCCATATAGGCCTCTATTTTGCAGAAATTAAATATTAATTTACAGCACCCAGTGGTAACATTCCCGGCGCTCCGTGAGCGATTTGGCCTAGTTACATATCGTAGCCGGGGAGGATTGACTGGGTGCCAATCCTTAACTGTATGCCTCTTCACCCCGCAGTGAATGGGTACCTAGTTGTTAAACGATTTGGCGGGTCTTATTCCAAGGAAGAATAAGATTAAAGACCTGTCCAAAATGCTATGCATGTTAGTGGCTTTACAAGAATGTAAGAACTCTTGTATATACTGTATAAATAAATAAAAAAATTTAAAAATGAAAGTAAAAGTCCCAATAGTAAAGTCTGGTTTGTTCTCAACTTGCAATCAGAATTCCAGGTTCGAGTCCCAGGCGGGACAGAAATGGTTGGGCGCATTTCATATCACCTAATGCACCTGTTCATCTAGCAGTAAGTAGGTACCCCTGGAGTTAGTCAGCTTGTTGTGGGGTTGATTCTTCGGAAGGGTCAGTAATCATCCACCACAAACATTGGTCTTATTTTGTTATATACTGGTAATTCGTTTATTTCCTAGTAAAATCATGTCTTTTTGGCATTCTACATTTAGTGCCAACTGAATATAGTTATATTTTCAGACAAAAATATAACATTTTCCCGGTTGCAATTCTTTTCCATGTCATAGCTCAGTCGATTAAGGCGCGTCTGTGATCCCCTTGAACGTAGGTTCAAACCCTCGTCACGGCCCTTGTGAATTTGTTCATTATCAGGTATATTAAAAAAATGTCATATTTTGTCTTGTGTAATTCCAAGAGGCTTTGAGTAGCGTTGGGAAATTCTGTTGATCTATATAGAGTTTGGTTAGGTAAAGCTGGATCTCATAAATTACACAAATCTACCCAAATTTTTGTAGAATTACATAAATAAAGCTAAAATATAAAGCTGTGTGAAACTGAAGAAGCCCTTCTGAACCTAAGAACAGTATAATGAACATTATACTATTCATTATACAAGTTCATTATTCTTAATAGGCTGTAATGAAATACAGCATATATTTACCTGATGGTTACAGGCCTACAAGTTGCTGTATATTTAGATACAACCAATGGAGCAGAGTGCTACTGCCTGTTGGTTTCACAGGTGATTGTCAACTAGGTTGGCCTTCAACAATGTGTCATTGTTACCTTTGATTATAAGTTAATTTATGCAGTATATAAAAATGTCGGAATAATTCAACTACACTTAACATTGCTAATACTGACAAGGAGTCACAATAATGTGGCTGAAATATGTAGCCCAAAAAGCACTACAGTAGTAAATGAAGGGACGACGACGTATCAGTCCGTCCTGGACCATTCTCAAGTCGATTGTGAGAATGGACTTATACTTGAGAATGGTCCAGGATGGACTGAAATGTAGTCGTCCCTTCACTTTCTAGTGTGTGGTTTAGTCAACATTGCTAATACTGTTTTTTTTTTCACATTGCAGGTTTGGACATCATGGGGAAAAACAAACGATCGAAGGGATACTACATACAGTCGGCAAAACGACAGAAGAGACATGAAAGTTTCCTTGGTCCTGACATGACAGGCTTCATGTGTACATGCAATGAACATGAGCGGGATTGTGTTCGAGAAGCTTATAATATCCTGAATGAGTTTGCTGACCAATTGTTTGGCAAAGAAGATTTTGCAAGTAAGAATTTAAAATTAAAATTTGTTTTAGTAGACTAAATGTCACATATTCACTTGTTCTCACTCACACCCGCTGTAGTTTAAAAATAGTGGAACTTAACATTTTTCTTTCCTGCTGAGAAGCATTGGCTCCTAACCTGGATTAGGTGTCTGATTGTAGAGAGTCAGTCTCATAATTGTTTTGTGGTTTTGGGAATCTTCAATCTACCCAGCAATCCATCAAGAACAAAATTGTATGATGCAGCTGGTGTTTGGCAGTTGTCTATGAATTTTCTCAAGTCTTTCTCTTCATGAGCAGCCTGAGCAGTCCATAAGATATCATGTTGAGCATTAATAAGATATTCTGGTTACAATTCATACATTTTCTCATGGCATTGTGTTTATACAGTATTTGCCCCAATACCTGCTTGTTGCTGACTTCATATTCCATATTACTCTTATAAATTGTTACTTTAAACTGTTGGTAATTTTTTCCTAGTAGACAGTACAATCTGAATTATGTTCCTGAGTGAGATAGAGGATTGTCAAAAGTGAATGGGTAATTCCAGTTTGGGCCTTTCACAACTTGCAAGAATTGACGGATACTCTGGATAAAATTCTTGTCGTCATGGCATGATAATGCCATGACGATAATGTAGTGTGTGGACAATGTAGTGATAATATATTGTAGTGTGTGGACCTTGTGCACACATGATCTCATGTTCATTATATATTACTCTACATCTTTAATTTTATAGGGTATGTGTTACAGTATTTTTCCTTGCATGATGAACCAGATACTGTACTTTTTAATTACAGAACAAAATATGGATAAAGATGATAATGAAGTTAGCAAGACCGAATCGGCTACAGACACGAATACAAGTGATGGCCAAGGAAAAATGGAAAAGGGAAGTAAGAAAGAAGCTGGAGAAAGTTTAGATGATGGGAAAACTGACGGACGAGAGGATAACAATGCCAGTGACAGTGACGACGATACATTGGATGTGGAGGCTGCTGTTAAGGTATGTAGACCGCTGGGAGTTCTCTTAAACAAGTTTCATGATAATGTGCATCATACTCGAATATTTAAATCTTAAATGAGTTGTTCAGATATGTTTGAACATGAAAGCTGATGGAAGAAAGGAATTAGAGATTTTTCTGATATAGTTTAAGAAAGTCTTATTTAGGCCCGCTTGCTTTGAATGGCTTATTTGGCTAAATGCAGAATTTTGCTCTGTGCCTTCTTCCTTATTATATATATTTCAAAAGATGTTTTTTGTTTTAGCTATAATAATGCCTATTTGTTGGCACGAGGAACTGATCAAATGACAGTGTATGCATTGGATGTTAGCAAAATACGTTTTCAAATTTTAGGCTGCAAGGGAATTTTGTTAAAAATTTAATTTTTGTTTGTTTAGGTAGAATTGTATACTGTGTAGGGAAGTTAAGTTGCGAAAGTTCAAGACTTGAGTGATTGTAAAGAGGAAGATGTATTAGTTGGGAAGCAATATGTAACCATTTGTGAGCATTTTGAGATCTCTGTGGTTCTGTACTTATAGAAAACATACGTATGGTGTTTAGTGACTTATGTTAATGCTTTTGTGAAAGCAGATTGCCTGAAATTTAAGGGGAGATTTAATGGCACTGTTTATTAAATAATTATTTTGTGATCCTTCACAACAGGTAAATTACTGTAGTTTATAGTCGGGGTCAAAGTTAAAACAAAAAAGTCACAACAAAATGCACATTTTGTGCACTTTTATTAGTTGAATTTTAAGAATTAGACAAACTTGAGTATATACTACTTTTGACATTGTATATTGAAAGGAAAAGGGTAAGTAAATAGCTCTTAAGTTTCAGGTTCTTTTGTTTGAATTAAGTGCTTTGAGTAACATTAGCCTGCATGAACAAATATGAAAGTTGTGAATAAATCAAAATACTGTATTGTATTTAAAGGGAATATTTAGTGAAGATGCTAGGTTGACAGTAGAAGTAGAAATCACATGGCAACACTAGGCTGTAGATTATCAAGTGCCTTGGATCTCGGTAAAGATGTTGTGTTAGATAGGAAGTGCACAACATTTTTTGAAGGAATAATTATTCCAGTTACAGTAATTTGTAAGACGAGCTCTCCTGATAATTTAAATAATTTCAAGTTTAGGCTGAAAAGCCATATGTTATTATTTGTTTACCCTTGCAGGCAGATGTATTGGAACTTCAAAAGAAGAATCACGATCATAAACATGAACGACGATTCCAGCAAGTTAATTGTGGAGCCAAAAACTGTGTTTTTATCCGCACAACCTTAGATGATCCTTTGCCTCTTTCTGTTGCTATTATGGATGACATCCTCCAAAATCAAAAGCAGAGAACAAAGAGACTCTTACGCATGATCCCTGTTCAGAAAACATGTAAAGCTTTCCAAGAGGATATTGAGAAAGCAGTCGGGAATTTGGCCAAATCTTACTTTGAAAAAGAGAGTAAAACTTTTTATGTAGTCATCAAAATTAGAAACAACACTACTTTACCACGTGAGCAACTAACTAATGCACTAGTTCAAATTATTCAAGATGCCAATTCAAAAAATACACCTGACCTTAAGTATCCAGATGTTGTTCTTAACGTTGACGTTATCAAGAATATCTGTTGCCTCAGCTTTTTACCCGGGTATTTCACAAAATATGCTAAATATAACTTGATTATGTTAGCAGATAAGAATAAAGTGAGTGTAACTAAAGCAAAGGGAGATTTGGAAGACAGTAAGGGTAAACAAGATGATATAACTAAAAATAAGGAGGAATCTAAGGAAGATTTGGAAGTCAGCAAAGATAATGACAGTGTAACTAAATCTACAGTGGAATCTAAGGAAGATTTGGAAGTCAGCAATGATAAAGACTGTGTAACTAAATCTACAGTGGAATCTACAAAAGATTTGGAAGTCAGCAAAGATAATGAATGTTTAACAAAATCTACAGAGGAATCAAAGGAAAATTTGGAAGTCAGCAACAATGATAAAGAAACTAAAGCACATGAGGAGTCATAATGGAAATATTTTTCCTTTTCGGAAGCTTGAGAGTGAAAACAACAAATACTGTTGAAGTACTGTATAGTTAAGGGAATAAAGTGTTTTAGATCAACTAACCACTGCTATGTTGTGTGTGATATGAAATGTTGTAATTTTAGTCATTGATTCAATGTTTTTTCAAAAGCCCCTAAATAGGTAATATGGCACCTTAGCCTTCTCTTGTGTAGTGTATTAATGAGTAGTTGTACTCTCATTTATAAGTCATCTGATAAAGTCAAAGAATAACATATTAAAAAGTATTTTGAGTTGAATAGAAATTGGTCTGGAGTACTGTACGTGAACATCTGGTTGTTTGTTGCTACAGTAGTCGTTAACTTCAGTAATGAATGTGTATTTTGATTTTTGTTTTTTGATTATGATGTGTTTGTAAAGTTTCATTGCATCCCATAAAGCTCTTTAAAACAAATCCATGAAATGGGTGAAATACTGCTGTGGATGGCTTTCTACTTGCGTAGTTCTTACTTAGTTGTGCTTGCGGGAACCATTGGTCCTGCCTCTCAACTGTCTGTCGACTGGTGTACGTGTTCCAGACCCTTTCGGGCTCTTTACCATATTATTTCTGGTGTGGTGTTGCTATTTCCCAGCAAGTTTACTCAGGTAAAGGTTAGGTGCCACTGCCTTAAACTTTTTGTTGTTGTTTCTTACGACATTTCACCTGGCAGTTCCAAGGTAATGGCGAGTTTATTGCTTGTGTAAGGTTTGTTGTAGCAAAGAACAGCTGAAACTAGTATGATTTTGAGATCAAAATGTGAAAAGGATGATTATGCAATATCATTTCATTTAGGTCCTATTGACAATCATTGGCTTCAAAACAGGCAATTTATTTTGTCACAAGTGTGCTTTTGTTAAAAAAAAATATGCTTAAATACACTTGACTTCTGATGGCAGAAAAGGCTTTTGTGGTGCAAGTGCATGAGTTTTATTCTTAATGAATTTTCTCGCTCTTATTTTTTTTAAGGATTTTTTTAAAGGATCAGTTTTTATAAGAATAATTTGTTGATGTTGTTGGCCCCTTCAATCTCAATCCAATTATCCATATTAAGACTTCTTTCAGGCTAGACCAGTCACCTTCTTAGCACTTCCTTGGCTAGGCTTCATTTTGTTTCAATATTTCACTTAGCTTTCATTTAAATGTATATAATGCATTATTTTAGCAGTGGCATTTCCAGACATATGTTTGAGAACTGCCAACTTTTGTAAAATTTTGGAATTTTTATCTACACTTTTGAGACAAAAGACTTAGCTATTTCCAAATAACTAAGAATTTTGGAGAATTTAGCTTTAGAGAATTTTTGAGGTTACACCTCTAAATTGCAGAGTTGCATGTCAAATGTGAAGCAAATGCTGAATAACCTTTTGGTTCCAGCACTTGGCCTTTGGATTAAATTTTTTAATGAGTAAATATGACATGTAAAATTTAAGAAATAACAGATCTTAACAGATCTGCAGGGTGGACTAGTTTGACTTGGATGGCTATACTAAACAGCCATATATTTGAAAGTGAAATGTGCAAATTAAGAATTATGTAATATAAGTTCTTCAACTTAGTGTATGCGCTTTGGTAAGATTACCAAACCACACACCAGAAGATGGAGAAACGACAATGTTTCGGTCCGTCCTGGACCATTATCTAGTAGTGTAGTGTGCTTTGGTATTTTTACCTGGTTGCATAGACCATGTGTGTGTACAAGCTGAACTGATCTAGTAACTTTTGGGTATTTTGTAACTCAGTTGGTCCTATATAGCCTTCTTGGCATCATACTTTCTTTTGACAATTTCTTACATGGTCATTATAATAAAATTCATTGCCATTGAAAAAATAAAGTAATCTGCCTTTTGTTTTGCACCTTTTAGTTGTGATATCTCCATTGGGACAGATGTTAAAATATTCATCTAATGCTTCATGCAAATTTGTGCAAAGAACGACATTCATATTTTGAAATGTTATAAAAGATGGCACTCTGTTTGTGTATAGTACAATATTGTTAAATACAAACATAAATAAATCTCATTTGCTGTACAATATAGTTTTTGTATAATAAAGTTTATTAACTTTATGGAAGTGTTCATAGTGCAGTGTTGTATGCTTCATAATTATTTTATGTACATCTTTTAGATTTAATTGTTGCCAATTCTGGTAATAAGTACAAAAATAGTTGTCCACAAAATAAATATAAAATATTGTACTTTTGATGGTATTGTTTTTAATTCACATCCATTAAACATTGTAGATTTTCACAGACCAACAATTTTCCTTGCATCTAGCTTGGCAGTCACTTAGGTCGAGTAATACCCAAAAATTTGCCCCCATTCCCTGCTCCCTTTGTTTACAACTTTTAAAAATTTTCTTTGTATTGGCTTTATGCTTTAATAAATTTTTTTACTGTAGTGATAATGCAGCACTTTCTATTAACTCGTTTAAACTTCTCGTTACCCTCTAGTGATAATGGGGTGCCATGACGTGCCCTTCAAAAGTTCTAGTCACTGCTGACGTCATTCACTATTAGACCTCTGGCAGTCATTTGCCATTTTGGAACAAATTTCTTGAAAGCTAGTTTTCCCATTCTGGGCATTAATTAAAAGGTGGGTGCCATGTCAGGTGCATCACCATCCATTGACTCATTCCTATACTAGGAACTATGCTATGCAAAATTTCTAGAACTTTTATGAACCAGGAGGATATTACTGATTAGAAAAAATTTATTACAAATAGTAAAATTATCCCTAAGAATGACATTGATATGTCTTCACCACATTATCACATTACTGTATGGCCAAACTAAAATAATAATAAAATTGTCCCCAACATTAGACAGCAATGTTTTATGATATAGAAAAGAAACCTATTTGTAATCTGCATCAGGTAATTTAACTAATTTAGGATATGTAGCTAGGGAGTTAAAAATGGGCAATGGAGGCTATCCTCTGCCAATCTGGAATCTTACACAGGAGATTATGACAAATCTAAACTTGCTACACATGATCTAGATTCATGTCATGATATATTGGATACTTAATTTATATTAGACTTGCAGTTTTATGCTACACCATACATAGCCTTCCCGGTTTGGTGCCTCCTTTTGAATAAAAAATTACTTATGCTACACCAAACATTCTCCTTTCCGAATACCTCGGAAACAGTTGCGATTGGATATGTAGTTGTGGTTGAATCCCCCCAGACATGAAAAATAATACCGGGAACTTTATGTACAAAAGTATGTAACGATTCATTATTGTTTCACTATACAGTACTGTATATTTAAAAAAACTGCAGAATACTGGTAATACAGCAGCAATAAATATAGATACTCGCCAAGTGTCCAGATGTTTCATCGGCATTGTAAATTTGCTCAGGAGATAAAGATCATCCTGCATGATCTCAAATTTGGACATAAACATTCCTCCACACCTTTTGCATCAGCAGCAGGTTCAGTTCCCATAGTCTCCTTCCCCACTCCAGGGGGGGGGGGTTCCTAACTCCCAGAAGGGAGTGATGGGTTGATGATTGAGGTCCCCCTGGTTCTCGCTTCTTCCTTGTCTGCTGCCATGATTCTCTTGTCCCTTGTCATGTCCCTCTGAAGGAATACCTTTCCTTCCCCTTACACTCACAATGGTTCTTCTTTGCTAGAATTTCCTCTTTTGTAGTCTGACTTGAGGCTGTTGTTCTTCCCACTAGGAAGCCTGGTACTTGAAGGACCTCCCTTAAAGATTTTCATCCCTTTGCCCTAAGTTGTATCTGCAAACTGTGAGAGCTTATGATTAATGTGCATCTCATGTGGTTCTTGGAACTATGATTAATGTGCATCTCATGTGGTTCTTGGAACTTCATGTCTACCTTCCCCTCGCCCCTCTCCTAATTTGGTTTCCACAAAGGTCATAGCACAAAATATTTTGGAGGACTTTGAGGACTATATCTGTGCTACCTGTTACAAATTTCTATGTTGTCAGTTTTTTTTTACCTGGAAAATGCTTTTGACCACCTTCCCCGAGGATTTTTGCCCCATTGTCCTGACAAGTTACATTTGCAAACTTTTTTAATGTATGTCCAATGTAGTTTTTAGAACACCTTTGCTATCCCCGTCCCTCTCAATTTGGCTTTTATAAGTGTAGCAGCACAACTGATGGTTTAGTGAACTTCGAGGTATACGTTCATACTGCCTTTCCTGCCAAGAACTCCATTATTGCTGTTCTTCTTGATGTGGAAAAGGATTAAGACACCACCTGGATACAATATTTTATCCCAGATATGTTCTTTTGGCCTTCGTGGCAATCTCCCATTCTTCCTCCAAAACCTCTTCTCTTGTAGTTCATTTAAAGAGAGACTTGGTACTGTAGTACTTTATCTTTTTTAATCTCTCTCTCAACAATATGAAGGTGTTCAAAGTAGTGTTCTGAGAATTTGTTTTCTCTTACTTGGTCTAAATGGTCTTTCTTCCCTCTCTGACATTTTCTTGCCCCTTTATGTTGATGATCCCAGTCTGCTGTCAGAGTGAGGATTTCCCTTTCCTTCAATGACAGCTTTGGCTAGGTTGTGTATTGCCCATACATGCTTAACTCATGGGCACCTAATGGAATGCTACCCCGCTTCTTATTGTCCCACTTACAGCCATGCACCTTGTTGTTGTTTAGATTTAGCTACTCAGGACTAAAATTTCCATTTAGCACAGGCTATGGTGAGTCTGCAGTGGACTTAACTGGCACAGGAGTGGGGCTGCAACTGCACCTTGCAGAAGGTCCCAATGTTCAGGTTGAATTTAGGCAGCCAAAATTTTGACCTGTCCAAGAGACCAGCTACCTCATTGCAACCTCATTTCCAATAGTCAGCTAGGTGTATAACCCTTTTTTTCAAGAGTTTCACCAGTATAAACATTAAGTATTTATATTATGCATACCATCCATTGTAATATTTTCAAATACATTGCAGTACCGGGTATTTACAGTATCTACACAGACTGTGCCTCTTTCTGAACAGGTCGAGACCAAAATCAGTCAAAAATGAAGCAATTTGTTTAGATAACTGCGTGTATCCTTCCATCCATTAAAAATATTAATTTGATGTTTAAAAATGCACCATATTACTGTACTGTATCATAAGGTCTCACATTCAAACACAAATTTAGGAATGTGTGCCAATCCTGTCTTCAGTACACTACTTCCAACGCTCAAACAGAAAATCTTAATTAAAATATACTATAAAATTATTAACTCCGGATAAGATTTGGATAGTTAAAGTCCCTTTAACTTCCTAAATCTTCATTTATGAGATTAAGTGTTCTTTCAGAATATTTTATAAACTACAGTATATCTTTAGTTTTCCTTAAATTAGAAGCTTAAGTTCATTTACCATGCATGTCTTGAGTTATATTAACTTTTCCTCATTATATTTTGTAAAGCAATTTAATAATGTAAAGTATTCAGTGGCACCTCCCAAATCTAGACCTTGCTATAATGAATCCATTAAAGTAATTTCCTGCAGATCATATTTTCTTCAATTTTTTTCTGTGCTTTTCTATAATTCATTGGATGTCAAAGTTTAGGTCATTGAAACTGCCAGAAAATATTATTCTGAGAATTGTGACACTGTCTCCTAAATTATTAATTGAAAAAGGTTTCTAAGACGTTTCATGTGAACTTGTTCATAAAAATAGAATTTTGGGTTTAGAAAAAAGTGGATGAACCTGGTTTGCAAATGGTCATATGGCTAGTTTCTAGTTTAAGTAAAGAGTTCTGAATATTGACCCATATCTCCTTAAATACCATTTTTATGGAAGTAATTACAAATGTTATAGAAAACCTTAACCTAAAGAAATAGTTTATAATATTGGAAAGTCAATGGGCCCATTTGGAAGAAATCGTAGGGCTGACTGGTTTTCATTTTGAAAGCAACAAGTTACTAAAAGGTTCAGTGATTTGAATTTGATTCAATAGAGCAGCCCGTTCTCCAAAGACCCAAAAGTGATTCCGTGCACCCACCAAACCCCATTTATGAATGAAAAACGGTTTACACATGACTCAACTGTTGACGTTCAAACACTTCCGGAACAACTGCTTCACTGACGAATTTTGTTCAAACCACAACGCTGTAAATGCTTCACCCACGTACAACAAATACAAATAATCGCCAACAGAACATAAACACCTAACCTAACCTAACCTATGCCTATATATGCACAATATGCTAATATATTATAATAGTAATTTAAAATTGAGAAAATTCCCATTTTGAATGAACAGCATGTAAAAATTTATCAATGCTTCTGTGTGGTCGACCGCTGGATGTAATGGACTTGAGTCGAGGACAAGTTGAATGGAGGTGCAAGAAATGTAAATCTGAAACTGATCATGAAACCATATCTACTGAACTATTTAGTGGAATGAGCTCTCTACTAAATAATGATAATAAAATGAAAGATAATGAAAGAGTTTTGGTCAAGGAAAAGAATCATTTGCACTATTTGGTGGTCATGGCTCTACCTTTAAAAGATAAGCTTTAAAGAGTTGGATCCTGGAAAATATTGAGGACGAGGGTGAAATTTCATTAAAGTTAGAATGTTCTGGTAGACACCCATCAAATAGCAGGTTGAAGTTAAAATTTCCCATAGTGAAATTTGCCCATAGAGCATGGAAAAATAAGGCAACTTTAATATTACTCCAATCACTTTTTAGTGATTTTGGCAACTGAGCTCAACACTAAAAGAAACATTTGATGCCATTAAAAATATTTAAAATATAAAATATAATTCTATGGTTCATTTTTATTTGGAGTTCTACATAAAAAAAAATGAGATTTGATAATAAACAAAATACTATAGTGCAATTTTGGGGAAATTCGGATCAGGTGTGGAATGATATGACCCAGATTTTGGAGGTGCCACTGTACATCATCTACTTGAATGACTTTTGTAAATATTTCTTTACTTTCAAACAGTAAATTCAAGTTTTTCAATAAACAAAATATATCATATTCACCTCTTCAAATCTCCCATGAGATAGGCTGTATGAAACAACTGATTTTGTGGTGCCTTACCTAGTAAGCAGAGAAATTTCTATAAATTAAGTGCAAGTTTTATAAAGGAAAATTTGTCAGAATATTTTAGAAAAAGTTTGTGAAGGGAAAACTGTAAGAGAAAGCATAGAAATGACCAAATGGACTAAATTTAGAGAAACAATAAAAGTCGGCCCATGGTCATGTATATGTTGTGCAGCGTGAATGAGAAGCAACAGTGCTTTTACTCTGCATCCTCCACAGGTAGCGTCGGCTTTTTGAAGCTCTGGGTTAAATGATCTAGTACTGTATCTTTGAAAATATTTCTTCACATAATTTAATTTTCCTTTGTTACTGTCTGAACAATAAACATATACTGTACAATAAGAGTAAACTATCCCACATAATAGGGGTACCACCACTGGTGCAACTGTGGGGACCCACAGCCTTGGAATAAAGAGAATAAAAGGTATTCCAAAAAGATCTTGTATATTCTCCCTGAAGACTTGATGAATATTTTCTTCTACCACCCCTACTTTCTTAGTAATTTATACAATGTGATATAATTATATGAAATTAGTATTTTATACAATGTGATATAATTATATGAAATCTTTTCCTCTCCAACCTTAAATCAAAGTACTGTACTGTACTTGCACATTCTAGTCTTAAAATATGTGAAAAAAATAATACTGTACTCTCCCTTTTACAAAGTATTCAATAAAATGTTCACGAACAACACCTTTAATTTTGCTAAACAATAACTGCAGCAACTTTATTTGTCTCATCTTATTACCATAACTGTTTAAATATATGAATGTCAAGACTACTTACTGCTCATTAATGCTTTTGGAAAACCCTCATATTCAACAATGTGCATTCACTGATCTTGAAGGGCTTTGCTTACTTTTCCTCCCTTTAACCACTGCACTGCGCAGAGCACCTTAATGCGCCATATGGCACTTATAGATATAGGGAGCGTTTCAAAACTCCCACAGGTACATGGGGCTTACATCCTGTGAACCAGGACTCAATAAACAGATGCCATCTTGAAAAAAAATCGTCAGCATCTGTGCTGGCTGTGTGAGCCTTAGTATTGGGAGTAACCAAGGCTGTCGCATACATGAGCATCTCACAGCACTGCTGTGCAGCTGGGGGCCACAGCACCTTGAGGTTTCCTTGAGGTGATTTCGGGGCTCAGCGACCCCGCAACCCGGTCGTCGACCAGGCCTCCAAACTTCATCACCACTTAGTAATGATGAATAAAATAGGTAACTTAAATGATTTTGCATTGATAATATTATAGATGATCCTGACTGTGATAAAGATTATGTACAACATTCAGATATCAGTGAATACAATGCTAGATACGATATTCACAGCATTAGGTATAGACACAGCACCCAGCCATTGTTTCCTGTATCTATGCATCATGAAACAACCTTATGTTCCTTCACAATATAACCCCTGTAGAAATGGATTCATATTCGGGATTTTGTGACAGGAATGTGATAATAACAGCAGTTTTGTAGCTGGTCATAGCGAGATGTGTAGAATATTGGAGGCATTGTCTTGTATCATGTGACTGCTGGTGTCTTCTGCTTGTGGCTCCATGCTGTGTTTTGATTTCATCACCATACCCACCAGAACTGCTTATTAGTTTATTATGGTGCATATAAATGTTGATAGTGATATTTAATGTGCGTATATATTATAATAGCAAGAACATTGGTTGATCTAAGAATATAATATACATGTCACCATATATGAGCACCATAATTTTGAGCATAACAATGTTCCACACATTGAACTACATAAATTCCACAAATTACACACTTTTGAATAATATTACAGCAAAAAATAGAGAAGAAACAAACGAGAGACATTGAAATAATTATGAAAAATGATATTCGCATCAACTGCCACCTCACGGGGTGATGGGGTTGAGTGTCCCCCGAGCACATCATCACTGAGTGCCCATAATTTGCTCAACCTCTCAGCTCCATCACGGCTAAAGTATGTCAAAGGCAATATTTTATTTTAGTTTCCCGTGATCAGAGACTGCATTTTAACAATATATGAAGAGAAAATAATTTTTGGGAAATAATTTATTTTCTGCGCACCACAGGGGTGTCATATTTTAATGCAGCGCAGTGCAGTGGATAATGACCCTTCATATAATATTTACATACATTCCTTGGGTAGGCTTATGAAACTACAGAAATATGGAACATATATGCAAATTGTCTTAAATATTATTGCATTTAGTTTAACCATTTTCAGTACAGTTACAATCAATCATGCATACAAGGTGGTTTGCAATAATACAATATTTAACTATGAAAATACTGATAAACTTAATCCTGCATTTATGTTTACAAAAAATATTCCCATGAAACAACTACATATTAAATATTTTAGTAAAAATTCATAGAATATATGACATATTATAACGTGAACAATAACACAGGACTGCATTCACTCATTATAGGCTTGGACATAGCTTAAAATACGAAGGGTTGAGGCAGCATTAGAAGTAATTTGCTATCACATATGTAACAAACCAGAGACAAGCAGATCTGTTACTCTAACCTGGGATGCCAAGATGTGCACAATGCACTACAGTAGTATTCGGTGTCGACCGCTTGCTTTATTATCGTTTTGATATTACATAGCAGCAGACCCAAGAGATCATTTTAGCACATTCTTAAAACTTGATGCTCCTAAGGTAATCTTCTAATCTACACACTAATTGTAGACTAAGTGATGTAAAATGAATCCTATGAGCCTGATGTGATATTCTTTTGAAAATGTAATGTAACTACAGTACTATTATAATAAAATATAACAATGTGCCAATTCAATATCAGGCAGTCCGAGTTCTTCAGTAACTCGGTAAACTCTATACAAACACTAGATTATCATACACAGATCCATCTCCAGCTGTCAAGAAGCACGATAAAAATACCTGCTGTAGTAAAAGACAAAACAATGATATATGGTTGGTCATATCACTTAATAAAAATGGCACACTTTTCCAATCACATATTCAACCATTCATTGTAACGTACTATCAACCTAATAACACACTAAAAGTAAACCAATAATCCCTGTGCATATTAACATACAATGTAATAGACAGCATAAATATACAATACTGTACTTCCAAAATGTAGAAGCATGTATATTTACTGTATATATATACAGTATACACCTATACAGATTTATGAAAGGCAAGAATGAAGTAGTACATGTATGGTACAGTAGGTATAGAAGTGCACTTTAAGGTATAGCAAAGACTAAGACAGTGATCAAAAATGTAGTATAAATAAAGATTGGACAATTTTTAACTAAACATTGCATTAAATCTATTAATGAAGTGAGCGAGTGTGATGATGTAGTGATGAAAAGCAAGACAATGCTCAAAGATAGCATGAGTAAATGTTTAAATTAGTTACAATGTACAGTATTCTGTCCAGAATCTATGAACAAGAAGTAAAGCAGCAGTCAACTGGGAATGAATTTAAACACTAGCTAAACAAGTGATGAGAGGTTGCAAACCATTACTTGCAAGTTGTGCACTGACCAGGTCAATATGGAGGCCACTCTATGACCACTCCATACGGAAAGATATTGATAACGACATGAAATTAAATTTTTTATTTATATTTTTGCACTATCTTTATTTGAATCTTTTTGTGAGTCTCTAAGTTTCTTGTTTTTGCTAAATTTTAGACTTCCGAGGATACCATTAGTAAATCTATGTTTACTTTGCTTTTTCCCAGAATCAGCACTGGGTGAACGATCTTCCATTAGTGATGAATCGGACGAATTTCCCTCCTCTGAAGGTGATAGTGTTATGTGCTTGTCACGTACAGACGTCTTGGGGCTGTCTAGTGCTGGTTCACTTGCGGATATTTTTTCCCGTTCCTACAACAATGGGAAGATAATTAGTTTTCAATTTTCAGAGGCTTTAATAAGACATCTAGCTATATTTTGTCAGGTTTCCTCAAACTCATCCAGAATGTCTTCACCAAGCTGAAAAAATATAGCTTCATAAAAAGATCTTTTATTTGAACATTCTTAACCTATGCATATATATATTTCTTCATTTTGAGTGGTGGTACTATACACAGAACCATCTTCAAATTGTGTTAGTGCGTTACTGTTAAAAATAAATGTGAGAAATAGATAAAAGTGAGAAAAATAGCAACTTAAATTATGTGATTACATGTGTGTATGCATGTGTGTGCACATACATATATACAGATATACATGTGTACTTACCTAGTTGTGCTCACCTAACAACTTTTTCAATTGAGTGCAAGTGTGAAGGAAAATACATTTCAGTACAGTAGGAGGGGAAGAAGCCTTTACCAAATGTGTCAAAGTGTATAGCCAATATGTAACCTAGCTTAACCTAGTTGTGCCTGCGGGGGTTGAGCTCTGGCTCTTTGGTTCCGCCTCTCAACTGTCAATCAACTAGTGTACAGATTCCTGAGCCTACTAAGCTCTATCATATCTACATTTGAAACTGTGTATGGAGTCTGCCTCCACCACATGACTGCCTAATGCATTCCATCTGTTAACTACTCAGTGTGCATATGCGTGTACAAGTCCATGCATGTGTAATTACCCAAGTGTAGTTACAAGATGAGAGCTAATCTTGTGGTGTCCCATCTTCCCAGCACTCTTTGTCGTATAACTCTTTGAAATTACTGACTGTTTTGGCCTCCACCACCTTCTCACCTACCTTGTTCCAACCGACTACCACTCTGTTTGCGATAGTGAATTTTCTTATGTTTCTTCGGCAACTTTATTTAGTTAGTTTAAATCTATGACCTTTTGTTCTTGAGGTTCCATGTCTCAGGAATTCTTCCCTATCAAGTTTATCAATTCCCCCTTACTATTTTGTATGTAGTGATCATATCACCTCTTTCTTCTCTCTTTTAGTTTTGGCATACTTAATGCCTCTAACCTGTCCTCATAGCTCTTGTCCTTTAGTTCTGGGAGCCACTTAGTGGCATGTTTTTGCATCTTTTCCAGTTTGTTGATGTGCTTCTTAAGTTATGGGCACCACACAACCGCTGCATATTCCAGCTTTGGTCTAACAAAAGTCGTGAACAATTTCTTTAGTATTTCACCATCCATGTATTTAAAAGCAATTCTGAAATTAGAAAGTGTGGCATAGGCTCCTCGCACGATGTTCTTTGTGGTCATCAGGTGATAGCGTTCTATATAGATCTTTCTTAAACAAAATTCTTTAAAGATTTCTCACATAATTTATAGGTTGTGTGGGGAGTCTATGTTATCTTTTCTTCCCTATTATCTTAGCATCTTCAGCAAACCTGTTCTACTTTCTAATACTTTCTAATATTTTTTGGCACACTTGTTTGCTTAGCGTGAATCTATAATCTCTTGTTCTTGAAATTGCAGGTTTCAAGAATTCCTCTTTGCTAATTTTGTCAATTACTGGTACTGTATTGTATATGTTGTATGTAGTTTCATCTGTTCCGTTGGTCATTTATTATGAACACACTGTTCGAGCATGAGCATGCGTGCGAGTGTAATTACCTACAGAATGAGAGCTATGCATGTGGTATCTACCTTTCCTATAATCTTTCTCATATGATGCTTTGAAACGAGTACTGATGGTTTTAGCATCCAGCACCTTCTCTGAATTTGTTCCAACCATCTACAACTCTGTTCGCAAAAAATTATTTCTTATATTTTTTCGACACCATTGTCTCCTTAGCTTCAATGTGTGTATGTGTGCACTGTATGTTTGTGTATTATGTTCAGTTGCATGCTTATGTCCTTACATAGTGGAAACCATACCCTCTATATTTAAACCCCTTCTTTTTTTATTTTAATTCTGTACAGTGTAAACTCCAAAATCATGACTTCTGTATAACATAGTGCATTATAAAAATATTTATTTTTATACATTTTACTAAACTTATACATTTTACTAAACTGTTGGTTGAGTGCAGTGATGGACATAGCCAGAACCTGTGATCACTTCAAGTATTAGTGATCATTGCTAGAGAATGGTGGCATAGAGAAACATTCTTGAGCTAAAATTTATTAAGTTTCACGAAGCTGTTGACAAGTACAGAACTTATTAGTAACAAGATTGGTGATCTTCATTAAGTAAACAAATTATTATTATATAAGTAAATTATTTTATATATATCATTTGTGAGTAAAATATGCACAAATGATAAGTTCTTTCACCTGCTTGAAGAGAACAAAATATAATCGTAAAATCAACAAAAGACGGTATCGCACAGCCCGGAATAATTGTGTCTGGATCGACGTAGCCCTGATTTTGGAGGTTATATTGTATGTTATTTCACTATTTTTAATAGAAATCAGTATTAATGCATGTACACCGGTTCACTAGGAGAGGCCCCTCTTGCTTCACACACCCACCTCATACACCAAGGTGATGTTTGCAGAATGGTAGGAGGAGACTGTCTGCTCGAGTAGTTCTCTTCAGCAACCGCTGCCAGCTGCTGCCACTTGTGGCCTCTGCTTTGTTGATGACCACATCTGCCACTCCTCTCATCACCCTTAATTACATAATGGATTTTCTTTATATTGCCACTTTCTTATACTGTACTCCTTTTCTTCTTTATATACTGCATATATATATTTAACCTTTACTTTTGCTTTTTATTTTCCTCTTCATGTTACAGACCTTTCCATTTGCTTGGCAATCTTGGTACTGCTTTGCACAGAGTTGTTAACAGAGTGATCACATCATAAGAACTTAATAGCCTTAGTCTTAATGACCCAGATGAGGCAGTTTCTATGTATACTGCTTGAAACATTCCAGTGAATTTTTTTTCTATGATGTTATTAGAACTTGCTCTGTAGCTCTGCAACTCAATTTCCAAACAAGTGTTTGCTTATTTCTTTTCTAACTCTAAACTTGCCTAAAGTAATTATCTAAAGAAGGCACCAAGCCGGGATGACTATGTAGCGTCTTCAATGTCACTGGATATTCAAAAGGTGCTACATATCACTGATGATGTCAATACAAGGCACATAAGGCAAGCAATATGTATTAAATTCACTAAAGATTCTATTGAGGGACAATTGACCATGAGGAATATTTGGGAAACAATACACATGAACATCCTGAAAATTGGGGACATTCTACAAAGAGGTGCACAACTGTAAGAGGGACAATAAGGAGCAGGGTGGCATTCCATTAAGTGCCTATGAGTTAAGTGTGTATAGCCAATATGTAACCTAGCTAGAGCTGTTTCTACTGCTGATTACAGTGGTAGGTGGAAGGCTAAGGGGACAGGCTAGTATTAAGAGCACACAGTTTGTTACCTTTAACACAAGACCAATGACCCTGGCAATGGTCTCGGATCGATGAATGAATGACTGGGTAGAAATCTGGATAAGGAATGCCTTTTAGGGAAATAGGAAAAGTGCAGATAGCCTCTTGTACAGCAAGTGTCTGCATGCTGTCGGCATGCTGCATGCTGTCGGCAAAGGGAGCCGGTCGGCCGAGAGGACAGCACACTGGACTTGTGATCCTGTGGTCCCGGGTTCGATCCCGGGCGTCGGCGAGAAACAATGGGCAGAGTTTCTTTCACCCTATGCCCCTGTTACCTAGCAGTAAAATAGGTACCTGGGTGTTAGTCAGCTGTCACGGGCTGCTTCCTGGGGGTGGAGGCCTGGTCGAGGACCGGGCCGCGGGGACACTAAAGCCCCGAAATCATCTCAAGATAACCTCAAGATACTCTGCAGGCACCTGACAGCTGGGTGGACAGCGCTTCGGATTTGTAGTCCTGAGGTTGCGGGTTCAATCCCTGGTGGAGGTGGAGACAAATGGGCAAAATGTTTCTTTCACCCTGATGCCCCTGTTACCTAGCAGTAAATAGGTACCTAGGAGTTAGACAGCTGCTACAGGCTGCTTCCTGGAGGTGGAGGCCTGGTCGAGGACCGGGCAGCGAGGAAACTAAGCCCCGAAATCATCTCAAGATAAGATGCTTATTTGAGGTAATACCAATACAGCTAGGAACTCAGCAAAACTTAACTGTCTTTAATTTACTTGTGATAAGAAACAGCCAATATTGGATTTTGACTCTGTACCACAGGATGCAGAGGGATTAAATGACACCAGAGCCATGAGAGCACTGCAAGAGTCAACCACAACAACAAAGGAGCATTGACATAAGAAAAGCAGTTGACTAAGAGCATACAAAATTCAAAATTGCACAAAGTTCAGCCATGAACATGCTAGCCTCCTGGGGTAGGTAGCACACATAGGTTTGGTCTGGAGAGACTACAGAGTGGCCAACACCGTTGGCAGACTTAAGCCCTTCTGTGAATAGGGCAATTGAGTGCAAGTGTGAAGGAAAATACATTTCAATACAGTAGGAGGGAAAGAAGCCTTTACTAAGTGGGTCAAAGTCTTGCAAAGTTTGTCCACATTTTGTCAAACTTAACATCCCCTACTAACCTCAGACATAATCACTGATGGCACAACAGACCACTAGTCTCCACTTTTTCTAACAAACATTATCAAACCACTACTCAAAACTATGAAGATTAACTTCAAACTGCACAATGAAGCCTACATAAGCAACTTTATTGAAGCTGCCAGCAGCAAGCCGAGATATTGAACTCAGTAGAAATAAAAACATCACTGCAGATATATAAACATTTCTTCAAAGAACCTAGAGCTTCTATAACACACACACACTCAGGCTAACTAAACACATTACCACCAGAAGGCAAAACAATCTTTGCCTAACAAGAGGCATACCTCAATTAACAAAAAGTATCAATAAAAACCACGGTAGGATACAAGTAACTTCCATAGAAATGTCAAAGCTAAAATGAACTATAAAAATTATAAAAATGTATTTATTTAAATATAAGACAACATAAAATTATGTACCTTC